GCCCCTCATGCTCAGCGACCGCCAGGTCGGCGCCCTCGCCGCCGGCGAGCCGCCGCGGCCCCTGTCGCGGCGCCGCGGCCGCCGGAGCGCCGCCGGCGACGACGACGACGACGACGACGACGCGCCGCCGGCTTTGGGCGCGCTGCCGAAGCGGCCGGGCTCGGGCGCCGCGCGCGGCGCGTGGGCCGCGGACTCGGACGACAGCGACTCCGACGACGCCGTGCTGAGCCGCGCGCAGATCAAGGAGCGCGCCAGCGCGCCCGCGGCCGTGCCCGCCGCGCGGCCCGCGTCGCGCGGCGGGGGGCGGCCGTCCGCGTCCAAGCCCGGCCGCGCGTCCGCGCGCCTCGGCTTCGACCTCAGCGGCTCCCTCGCGGCGCTGGACCAGTGGAGCGAGCACGCCGAGGCCCACGACGACGGCGCCGTTCGCTTCACGCGCGGGCCCGTCGCGCGGTCGCCGCAGCGGGCGGACCGGCCGGCGCCGGCGCCCGCGTCGCCGCCGTGCCCGGACACGGCGCGCGACGCCGCCGCCGCCGTCGCGCCCCTGGACCTGTCGCGGCCGCCGGGCCTCGCGCCGCCGCCGGGCCTCGCGGCGCGGGCGTCCTCTTCGTCCTTCGCCGCGCCGCCGCCCACGGAGGCGCCCGAGGAGGACCCCGCGCCGCGCGAGGACCCGCTCCTCGGCGCCGCGACGCGCCTCGACGACGACACGGTCGTCGGCATGCTCAAACAGCCGCCCAAGGGCGTGCGCCACCTCCGCACGCGCGACGGCTTCCGCAAATTCTTCTCCGGCATGCCCCGGGGCCGCATGGAGGCGCTCCTCACCGCGGCCTTTGCGGACCAGCCGGCTGAGGAGGCGACGGCGCGGCTCCACAAGCGCCTCCAGCTCCTCGACGACCTCCTCGTCTAGGACCCGGCTCCCCTCTCCCCGTTCGCGCCGCGGCGCTCGACCGCGCCCCGCGATTATACGATACTCGTTGAAGCCGGCGGTGCCTGTCTCTGGGCCCGGAGCGCGGAATACCGTGTGTTGTTGCGCTGCGACCACGCCGCGCTGCCGCGCGAAGCGATCCGCGTGGAGGTGTCGCGTCGCGTCGCGCGCGCGAGGCGAGGCGCACCGCGTGCCGACGCCAAAGGTCGTCGAAGGTTGGCGGCCGCGCTCGGCGTGGACGCGAGCGGGGCCGGAGGAGCCGTGTTCAAAGGGGGTTTGGTTGAAGTTTCCCGTCGTGCTCCCTTCATACTTACCTGGTCGGGTCCCGAAAGTGATCATAAAGACTTTTGGGCACGGGGGGAGCTGGGTCATTGCACACGGGGTCTTCGGACCTGACGACCTATGAACCCCGTATATTTAGCTCCTGAAGCTGGATATACGACACAATTTTTCGACGCCGGGAATAAGCGCTTGCGCTCTCCTGGACCCACACACACACGCACACACACAACACACACACACACACACACACACACACCACACGACACGTCCTCAATAGCGCGCAACAACGACACCCCCGGCCGGCCAGCATCAAGAAACGCCAAGCTCTTCAAAATCGATCGAGACATCCAGCCTCGTCGTCTCGCGACCCGCGGCGCAGCGATGGGCGACCCGCCCGACGACGACGCAGAGGTCGCCGTTGCCATGAATTCAGTCACCTTCGACCGCAGCATCACGCCGACGCGCGGGCGCGGCTCGCCGCGGCACAACGCGGCGCGGGACCGGTGCCTGTCGCGCACGTCCGAAGATCTGCGCGAGCTCGAGGAGATCTCGCAGACCCTGCACGACATCGTCGACGAGGGCGACGCGACGGCCAAGTCGTGGAGCGCGCGGAAGCGCGGCGTCGCCGAGGCCGAGGAGCGCGTCTTCGCGGCGCTCCGGCAGACGCGGCAGGCGCACGACGAGCGGCGCCGCGCCGTGAGCGAGGCGG